CTGTGTGTGTGTGTGTGTGTGTGAGAGAGAGAGAGAGAGAGAGAGAGTCTGGAGGCTGTGTGTGTGTGTGTGTGTGTGAGAGAGAGAGAGAGAGAGAGTGACTGTAGGCACTGTGTGTGTGTGTGTGTGTGTGAGAGAGAGAGAGAGAGAGTGACTGTAGGCACTGTGTGTGTGTGTGTGAGAGAGAGAGAGAGAGAGACTGTAGGCACTGTGTGTGTGTGTGTGTGTGAGAGAGAGAGAGAGTGAGTGACTGTAGGCACTGTGTGTGTGTGTGAGAGAGAGAGAGAGAGAGAGAGTGACTGTAGGCACTGTGTGTGTGTGTGTGTGTGTGTGTGTGAGAGAGAGAGAGAGTGAGTGACTGTAGGCACTGTGTGTGTGTGTGTGTGAGAGAGAGAGAGAGAGAGTGACTGTAGGCACTGTGTGTGTGTGTGTGTGTGTGTGAGAGAGAGAGAGAGAGGGAGAGAGAGAGAGAGAGAGAGTGACTGTAGGCACTGTGTGTGTGTGTGTGTGTGTGTGTGTGTGAGAGAGAGAGAGAGTGAGTGACTGTAGGCACTGTGTGTGTGACTGCAAGCACCGTGTATGTTGGGGGGAGCACTGTGGGCACGCCCCGGTACGTGTGTGCGTGAGTGACTGTAGGCACTGTAACAAAAAACAGGACTATGTAGAACTTTAAAGACTAACAAGATGGTTTATTAGATGATGAGCTTTCGTGGGCCAGACCCACTTCCTCAGATCAAATAGTGGAAGAAAATAGTCACAACCATATATACCAAAGGATACAATTAAAAAAAAATGAACACATATGAAAAGGACAAATCACATTTCAGAACAGAAGGGGGATGCTGGTATTAGAGGTGATAATTGGGGAGGCTATCTTTGTAATAGGCAGTGTGTGTGTGTGTGTGAGAGAGAGAGTGTGTGTGTGGGTGTGTGTGACTAGGCACCATTTATGTTGAGGGGGGGCACCGGGGGCACGTTATGGTATGTGTGTGCGTGTGTATGTGAGTGACTGCAGGCAGTGTGTGTGTGTGTGTGTGTGTGTGTGTGTGTGAGAGAGAGAGAGAGAGTGAGTGTGTGACAGTAGGCACCGTGTATGAGGGAGTGAGTGACTGCAGGCACTGTGTATGTTGTGGGGGAGAGGGGCACCATGGGCACGGTGTGTGTGTGCTGTGGGTGGGGGAGAGCTCAGGGTGGGCAGGGGGCGTATGTGTGGCACTGTGTATATTGGGAGAGGGTCACAATGGGCATGGGACGTGTGTTATGAGTGAGTGGGTGACTGAGTAAATGGTGTGGGTGTGTGTCTGCAATACAGACCAAGCACAGGGTGCCTGTGTACAGGGGTGGATATACGGCAGGGCGAATGGGGCGGCTGCCCTGGGCCCCGCGCTTAAAAAAGCCCCGCGCATGCGCCGTGGCAAAGGGGGGCCCCGCGGAGTTACGCTGCCCGGGGCCCCGCAAAACAGTCATCTGCCCCTGCCTGTGTATGTTTCATACTGGGTATGGTGGGGGTGTTGAGCATGGTGTCTGTGTTTGTGTCACTTTGCATAGGAGTTGTGTGGTTTGGGCTTGGTGCGTTTGTCACCCTGGCTATGACTGGGTACATGATGTGTCACTGTGCATAGGTTGTATGTATTGGGCATGATGTGTTTGCCACTCCACATACAAGGTGTGTGTGCAGGGCTTAGTGCTGTGGGTTACCTGAGCTATAATTGCATATGCTGTATTACTGATTTCCTCTAAACTCCTACAAAGTAAAACAACAACTTGGTTTGTATGGCCCTGTTCTGTAATAAAACAGCAGCTTGATGGAGCAGTAGAATTAGTAATGAGTGACCACATTTATTCTATTTGGGCATTTACAACAACAGGTAAATAACCAACAGTGCTTAATGATTAGAAAAATTAGCCCATTTTTGTTTACTTCAGATCATTTCATTGTGTCTAATGTAACACAGTCGTAAAATTATGTTACTCCGGAGACAGAGAACTGCTAGGGTATTGTCCAGTTTTCACCACTACATTCCCTTTCCCATCCATTCCCACACACAGAAAAGAAATGAAGTCAAGAAAAATAAACTAAGGGTAACTAAGAAGAGAACATTCATAAAATTTTAAAAGTTAAGCTACAATAAACTGCATAATCTAAATTGTTTTACTGTAGGTTATTGCTTACAATAAATAACCTGCATTATATATGAACAAGACAGTCTACTTTGGATTTAGCAAGTCTTTAGTTTCTCTTATTTAGGTTTTCTTGTTATCTTTACAAATAACTATTTTACATTATGGAATTCCTGGATTTGTATGATTTACTGATCTGTGCAGCTTGATCAACAGTAGAAGTGGGCCAGAATTAAAACTCTGTGTTAAATACTCTTCCACCTGAGCTTTAAAGGTTTACATAGGATGAAATCGGGCTCCAAACAAGATGTCAATGAATCTTAGATTTGATTGTTCTAGAATCACTAGTAAATACATAAATATATAGCCTGAGGTAGGAAGATGTGGGGGGAAGGTATATTTGGCCCACGCTGTTTGAATAATATGTTTCAGAATAATGTGGACCCTCTGGTATATTAGAGCTTACATTTTGACCCATTGTGAGACTTTTAAGCCAGATTCTGATCTCGGTTAAACCAGTATAAACCTGGAGTAACCCCATTAATGCGAGTAATAATGATATTTAACACTACTAAAGCATTTCTCACTGAAGCATCTCAAAGCAGTTTGCAAAAAAAGTTAATGGATGATTATTTAGATGAGGAAACTGAGGCATAGAGCAGTCATGTGACTAACTCACATGGTTTCAATGACAGGGCATTTTGTAGAAAAATTCCCAACCTGCTCTAACCATAAAATCATGCATCGGTGTCTACTAATCCGAATTTGTGAACATTTGAGATTGGCAGATTCACAGTGAGGCAGACCTGATTCTTGCCCCTCCCTCCCCATGCCTTATATAAAAGGAAATGATGTTATTTGGAGTAGTTCCCTGAGGCTTACAGAAGTTGAATGGCATCCCTAAGAGACAGAGTTGGGAAGAATTTGAAAGAAACCTTGATCCTGAAAACAGAAAGCATAAGATTGTCTAGAGGGTCTTTAGTGCCATTCCAGATCATATGTTCCACATAATCTTCAGAACTTCTTCAGATCTTCTGGTCCAAATGACAGAGGCAGGAGCTCTTGAAGAGTTTTGACTATATAGGTCCCATCTGGCTTTGTCATGTAAATGTCCCAATCTCTGCTGAACTAGAAAAAAAAAAAGTCAAAGAGAACTGTCTGTGAATCACACTTGTGCAGAACTGTGAATTGTTCATTGGTATTTACCCAATAGTGGAAAACAGTTAAATAAACATAAGTTGAAACAGTATGGCTGCGTCTAGACTGGCAAGTTTTTCCGCAAAAGCAGCCACCTTTGCTCAAAAACTTGCCAGCTGTCTACACTGGCCGCTTGATTTTGTGCAAAAGCACTGACGTTCTACTGTCCGAAATCAGTGCTTCTTGCGCAAATGCTTTGACGTTCCCATTCGGGCAAAAGCCCTTTTCCAGAAATGTTTTTGCGCAAGAGGGCCAGTGTAGACAGCTCAGATTTGTTTTGCGCAAAAAAGCCCCGATCGTGAAAATGGCGATCGGGGCTTTTTTGCGGAAAAGAGCATCTAGATTGGCACGGATGCTTTTCCACAAAAAGTGCTTTTGCGGAAAAGTGTCTGTGCTAATCTAGACGCTCTTTTCTGCAAATGCTTTTGACGGAAAAACTTTTCCGTTAAAAGCATTTGCGGAAAATCATGCCAGTCTAGATGTAGCCTATGTGTGTTGTAAAAAAATGTGATAGCTGTCAAAGTGGCTGGCCATTCTTTCTATGTTTCATTGTCCCAAATAAAAATCCTGTACTTCAACCTAGAGGTGGCTACATCACGGGTGGAAGAAGCAATTCTTTTTATTGTATTGTTTTTATAGTGCCCAGGTGGATCTAAATATAGGATTGAAGCCGAAGTGCGCCCAGTGATTTACAGATATGCAAAAAAGGCAAAGGCACTGTTATGAAGAGCTTGCTGACAAAGGTCATGGTCATACAAATTGTTTCTTGTGGATTGGTCTTTGCAAGGAGAGAGTCTTCCTGACATCATCCAGGCTTTTCATGGGCTTAGGAATCTACTACAGGGAACTTTAGGAACAGAGGCTAAAAATGCCATTGTGCAGAGGTAGGGAACCTTTTTTGGGTTGGGGGCCACTGACCCACAGAAAAATCAATCGAGGGCTGCACACACAAACCCCTCAATGACATGGTACCCAACCGAGAAGGAAAAAGACACTCCCTACATTCCCCTCCCACACCAGAGTCTAGGGGGGCCCAGCTTAGTATATTTTGTGTGCTCCAGCCTCATGGTGGGGCAGGAAGGGGGCTGGAACGCCAGCACAGACTCCCCAATGCGGGGGGGGCCCTGAGCCTTGGAGGCCAGATCCAGGTAAGCTAGAGGTCCCACCCCTGGTGCTGAGTCACACTTCTGTAGCTAGCCTTGCAAGGAGTCATTTGCTAGAATATTTGCAGGGGGAGGAGGGAATGAACACAGTTAAGGCAAATTCAATTAAAATGAACATTATGTTAACTTTTTTCTAATGCAACAGGCACCTGGCTTCTTGCCTATTAGCTTTTGCCACTGTTCTGTTCTGCAAGTTAACACGGAACTGTTTGGGTTGTTTCACCATTGTCACGTTACTGGATCTTGAGGGGAGCAGCCAGATCACTGCTGCACCCATAGGTGGGGTGTTGGACCCAGAAAATGGTATAAAAGGGGGCCATGTGGGGTGCTGAATAGAAGCTTATTATCTGATAATCCTATGTAAGCTATTTATGTGGTTGTATAATGTCTGTGTGTGTAGTTAGGAATCTGTAGTCTGTGTGGATACTGAATACTTCTCTGCATGTGGTTGAGCATTGGGCAGAGCCCGGGCCTGTGGACATGCTAATTAGCGAGGCCCTGTGGGACAATGGCACTCAATGGGCCAAGGACACCTAAGAGTGGCCAGCAGAGAGAGGCTGAGGACCGGGTGACCTGCTGCATACCAGAAGAGGCCAGGAAGGAGGTATAAAGAGGCCATGTGGTCGATGCCATTTTGTTCTCAGCTCAGCACTTCATCCCAGAGGCAGCATTGCACGGATCGAAGAGCCTGGAAGACCTGTGAACTCATCCTGATGCTAGGATGTGCAACAAGAACTTTTAAACCAGCAGCTGTAACATCTCTGCTAGAACCTGCATCGAGGACTGGGAGTTTCGATGCATGTAATGTATGATTCTTTAGCAACCTTACTCTCATGCTTTTCTTTCTTGTGATAATAAACCTTTAGATATAGATTCTAAAGGATTGGCCCAGCGTGATTTGTGGGTAAGGTCCAGAGGGTAAATTGACCAGGGATCTGTGGCTGGTTTCTTGGAACCGGACAGGACTTGTTCGGGGTAGGTGGGATTGGGTGCTAGGACCCCCCTCCTGTGTATGAGGCCCGGGGCCATCTGGGGCACGGATATTGCTGGGGTGTCGGAGGGGTTTTGCTCGTGAGGCTTCAGGCAGGCAGCTGAAGTGCTCTGTGGGACTGGTTTGTGGCCTGTTTGGAGAGGTCACCAGTCTGGGGGCTGTAAGGAGCCCCGGATTTGAGCAATTCGCCCTGAGCGGACGCCCTCAGCTGTGCCCAGACACGGCCCGGTCTGTCACAACCATCTTCCTGTTTTTCTTTATTATTGCTGGAGTTTGTTTCTTTGTGTCATGCTTTTGTATTTTCCCCAGATTTAACCCTTCTCCCATTAAGACCCCCTTTCTCTCATTCCTATCCTGCATCTTCTGCTTTGTTTTGTGCCAAGATCTCCTGAATCCTCCTTCCACATCTCTGCTAGAAGTTCAAATCTGACCACTTGTCCCATTTTAGGCTCCTCGCAAGTTTCTAAAGCAACCTCTTCCTTGGGGCAATGTTTGGAGGCCTTTATAGTATTAGCACCTTAGTAAGAAACTCTGAGCAACCTTTTAAAGCCTCCACCAATTTCTAGACTAGAACCTCATACTTCACTTCTTGGAGATCCAAAACTGGTATTAACTTTCAAAGATAATTTTAGATGCATAAAAGTACACAGGTGCCAGGGAACTTTACCTTTGAAATAATGCTTATCCACGCAGGGATTCTGCTAGGAGTTAAACATTAGCCACTAAAATAATGCTGAAAACATTAAATGCAGCTTAGAGAACAGTTGGTGCTATGCCTGTTTGCTGCACGTGAAAAAAATGAGCCGTGCGCAGTTCTTAAGAATGCTGTGTTTCACTGCACTCCCACAGAAAATACATTATTAGCATTCTACAGTAGCAGTCCTACATGCTGCATGTCTGAATCTTGAGTAGACTTCTGCAGATGGGCAGGGTCTAAATGCAATGGAAATGTTGCTTTGTTGCATGTTGAACTCTGAATCCTTCCTGCACCTCTGCAGTCCACATCTCCTCAACCAGAGAGGGGGATGGATGCTTTGGTGGCTAATAGATTTCCATAGAGCACCAGCCCCTGTGCCGGAGGGGAGCAGCAGTCCTTATCTGATACTTTCCCTAATATCTGCAAGATGACTACTCTGCTTGAAAAACCCTTGCCTAGACTATATGCGGGGGCCAATGATTCCTTGTCTCAGAGCTCTGTGAAGCTGCAGTGGTTTTTTCCCAGACCAGAGCCCTTGCACTCAAGCTTGATTCTTTTCATACTTTGATCCTGTTATAATATTATTGGGAACTGTTGAGTCAAATCTGGCTCTAGCATAAACTGAATTAAAACCGGAGCTGAACTTTCCTTCTGTTTCTGCCTTTGAAAATACTCGGAAGCCATTGCTTATTGAAATGAACGTTTCCTTCGCCTTTTGTCATTCTCTGCGTTCAAAACCTTCCCAGGCTTGTGCTGTGGGATGCAGGAAGTGGGACACCCACCATTTTGCACATCTTAAAGGGCTTTTTTACTTCGCAAACTTTGGCACTGTCTCTCTGACATTTCAGAGTCAGCATTGAGGGATCTGAGGCTACGTCTACACTACAGCCTTTTGTCTGCAGAGAGAATGCAAATGAAGCACTCATTAGCATTTGTTGCGCTGTCATTTGCATATCTCTGCCAGTGCTTTTTGCGGAAGAGGTTTTTGTGCAAAAACAAGCAGTGTCCACAGGGCCATTTTGGGCAAATCTCTCTTTTTGTGTAAGATCCCTTATGCCTCAAAAAAGGAGGCATACAGGATCTTGCACAAAAGGGTTTTTTTGCACAAAATAGTCCCATCTCCACTGTTTGTTTTTGCGCAAAAACCTCTTCTGCAAAAAGAATAGGCAGATATGCAAATGACAGCGCGACAAATGCTAATGAGCACTTTATTTGCATTGTCTCTGCCAACAAAAGGCTGTAGTGTAGACATAGCCTGAAAGACACAAATGTCCTCAGCTCGGCAGATGGGCTGGAATTAAAGCAGTTTAGTTTCAGCTGTTGAAAAAGAAAGCAAAAGCTGTTTACCTCTCTCATTACTTGTCTGCAGGCCCCACAGGGCACGATAAAGTCCTCTTCAGAGTTGCTATTGAAGGAGAACAGGATGCAAAAGTCAGGTTTAGCCCATTAACAGGCCGTCTTAATGTATCAGATAAATAATAACAAACAGTTCTTCCTAAGTAGCACTTTGATTGCACTTTCCATCCATAAATCCCAACATGTTTTGCAAAGGAGGCTCAAGATCATTGTCCCCATTTAATAGATGAGGAAACTGAGAAAAGGAGAGGTGATGTGACTTGCCCATGGTCTCCCAGCAAGGTAGCTGTGACTGATATTGCAGCCCCGTACAATATATTTGGGAATCCAGGTTGTATTAAATCTATGAATGGTTTATGTATGATTGTCTTCTATTCTATGGGGAAGGGCTATCATAGCACCTACAGGAACTATGGGGGGTGATGAAGGTGAATCACTCTCTAGATAGAGATTCTTTCACATCAGTGAGGTAGCACCCCCTGGAGTGGTTTGCACAAGCTGGGTTTTCCAGAGACAAGAAAAGGGCTTTTAGTATCAAGGGATGAGCTTGAACTAACACGTCTGATGGTGCTTGCTTTCTGATCTGATCCAATAAGTATACAGGACCAAAGGGGGCCCCACCCAGGTGGAAGGGTTGGAAATACATGGGCCTACTAGGTTCAAATGGGATTGAGGTGTAACTCCTGTTATATTTGATGCACGTTTAAATCTGGTTTTTTTTTATTATGATTTCTCTGTGGTTCTTTTACCCTAAGAAAGAGAGGGCTCACACTAAGCCATTCTCTCTAGCACTCAAATCCTTCCTTCCACTCAGACTGCACTGGTCCCTTCTGCATTGCACTGGGAGCTCATACTGAGTTGCTTGTCTATCATCACACCTTTCCAAGAGGCAATCCCCCATTCTGTCACTATGGCCTGCATTCCTTGCTCCTAGATGTAAAAACTGGCATCTGGTTGTATTAAAATGCAGTGAAAGCAGTTTTCACACCACTTTGCGTAAGGTGTCCTCCAGGGGCTAATCATTTGCTCTCACTTACAATCCTGGTATTGGTGTAACACACACCCCTTCTGGGTGTAGGGTAGTGTCCCATCTAGTGGCACTTAGACCACTTACAGAGAGAATAATGACACTGAGGCTGTAGAGCAGATAAAGATCAGCTGGCGTTTAGCTCAAGCACTAAGCTCCAGAGATCCTAGGTTTGATTCCACCTGTTGCGGTACATTGGGTTCTGGAGAATTGCTTTGTTTTGGGATCACCCTGCAAATAGATACTATTACAGTCTAGAATCCCTGTGCCTTTCTCTCCAGTATGGGAAAAGGACCATAGAATCCCTGTTGTGGTGAGTGTTCTAACCTTTCCCACCTCCCCAGGTGCCCCATCTAATCTCCACTACACACCACTACACAGGAGCTGAACCCTACACTGCACAGGGTTCAGATCCAGGGGACAGTACAAGCCTGGGAAAATCCATTCCAGGCCTTTACTTACTAGGCCTACAGTAAAGCCCGACAGATTTATGAGTTTGGAAGGGTAAGGGCAGGAATATTGATGCCACATGCAGCAACTCTGTCCCTGGCCACAATCCTGTCATGTCTTCCAAAAGCCCATAGAGGGGACAGTTGTGTTTCTTTTCTTCTCATCCTCTTCTGCATACATTGAGGCTGTGTCTACACTGGCAAGTTTTTCTGGAAAATCAGCCACTTTTCTGGAAAAACTTGCCAGCTGTCTACACTGGCCACTTGAATTTCCGGAAAAGCACTGACGATCTAATGTAAAATCATCAGTGCTTTTCCGGAAAAACTATGCTGCTCCCGTTCGGGCAAAAGTCTTTTTCCAAAAGACTTTTGCCCGAAAGGGCCAGTGTAGACAGCACAGTACTGTTTTCCACAAAAAAGCCCCGATCGCGAAAATGGCGATCGGGGCTTTTTTGCAGAAAAGCGCGTCTACATTGGCCAAGGACGCTTTTCCGCAAAAAGTGCTTTTCCGGAAAAGCGTCCTGCCAATCTAGACGCGCTTTTCCGAAAATGCTTTTAACGTAAAACTTTTCCGTTAAAAGCATTTTCAGAAATTCATGCCAGTGTAGACGTAGCCTGACTGTTCTGTGCTGTTTTCATCCCTTACTGGGAGAGCCCCATAGGGACAGAACTGACCTATTAATTTGGACTTTACTAGGATTCTGGCACCTGGGTGTCTATTCCAACTACTTGAAAAGAATAAAGATCAAGGAAGACATGAGAATCATTTTGATGGCAGGGGACATAAGACGGTATCACTAGGAGTAATGGGATGAAGTAAAATAATGGTGCATTTCAAATGAATATCAGGATTAGCTTTCAAACCATGAAGTCTGTTAGGATGTGGAATACCCTCCTGAGGAAGGTGTTGGAAAACATTTAAAAACTCACCTGCACAACGCACTTAGGAATAACCTTGTAGCTAACAGTTCTGTATGGGATTAACTACATAACCATATAGGTTTTGCTCATTTGTAGTGTTGATAAGAGTGTATGTAGACAAGGGATCTGCTCTTAGCAAGCACCAGGTTAATACTAATATAGAAACCTTCTCATTATCCCTGAGAAATATTCATGAACATTTGAAAGAAGAGAAGAAAACAAAGAGGATGCCTGGTAGTTGTTAAAATTCAAGGCTACAATTTCTCTCTTCATTGTTCCTTTTCATGGATCTGGCCCCTTTGTTCTGAATAAAATTAATTCCTTGGCTCTGGTTATTGACATGGATTATTCCTAAATAGTGTAATTTGCTATCTCTTCTGCTTTTAGTCCATTAAGACAAAAGTGTTCTCAACAACTCTTCACTCGCTCTGTGTCAAACAAATAATTAAGAGCTTGTAGACACATCACAGAACAGAAGCTTACAATACGGACCAACTAAATAGCAGCTTTCAGTTTTAGGTGACGGAGTTAGAAGATTCTACAAGATTTCCAGCATGGTTCCATTCAATCGTTAGTTAAAGGCCCACAGCTGATTTTTGCATCTCCCTTGGTTGCTAATTTAGGCCCTGGATTTATGCAATGGGGACCCCTATACTCTGCTGAGTTCTGTGAGGTCCTTTACAGATCCATTTGCAGGATCAGGGTCCCTCAAACAGTCCTACTCATTTCTGTGAAACTGACAGATTGTGACTTTCCCACAGCACCTCCAGCAGCTCTCCCTGGGAATCAGCTCTCCAGCCTGAGGGCACCTTTTGCTGACCCTCAGTTACTTTTGTTCCAGACCCGCTCCCTTTCCTCCCAGCACTACCCTACAGCAGTGCCCCTGCACTCTGGGGTCCTCTCCCCCCAGGGAACCCCAAATCCCATCTTGCCTCAGTGACCCACTGCCAGTCATCATGTAGATCAGGGTTTCCCAGCCTATGGGTTGGGACCCAAATATGGGTCACCATTACATTTCAAAAGGGTCGCCAAGTGTCTCCTCAAGTGGCTCTGTCCCCCCCCCCCCCCGTTTTTTAATTGCCTTGGGTTACCAAGTCTTCCTGAATTGTCAAAATGGGTCCCCATCTGGAAAAGTTTGGGAACCGCTGCTCTAGTCCTTATCTCAGGGGCAAACAGCCATCTGAATGGCCACTCATCTTTGGCAAGGGAGTAGACCTGCTGCCTTCTGCTACCCTAGCACCCTCAGACCTTGAGAGGTAGGCCTCAGCCTGGGAGTTCACCTGGCCAGAGCTCCCCAGCTTTGCCTGCCTTTCCCCAGCCCTGCTCTGCCTCAGGAAGAGGGTGCTTTTCCCCCACATCTACAGGATCCCTATTTATACAGTCCCAGCTGGGTCCTAATTATCTACAGCTCCACTTGTGGCTGCCTACCACTTAGCCTCCCTACACTGGCCAGTATGGGGCAGAGGTACTATTTGCGTGAGTAAAGTCTGGTAGGCTCTGAGCTCATTATTAAAAGCATTTGTAATGTAGTCGAATGATAACCTCACAAAGCAAAACCCTCTAATCACTTTTTAAACCCAGTCTTCAAAATCCATGCTGCAAAAATGAGGTGAAAGGGAGAGCTCCTTTGGAAAGGATGGCAATCACTTCTTGCCACCACTCAGAGCTGTACATACGTGCCTGTCTGTGTGTTTAAAGTGCAGGAAGTAGAGAATTAGAGGAACAAAAACGTTGCACAGTTTTCCTGTCCAAGCCGGTTTTGAAATGATTCGAAGGGCTATGATTCAGAGCTGTTACTTACCTGGCAATGGCCATGGCTCTGAAATTCACATACCCCTCTGATACGGCTTTCTGAATGGCGGTGCGTTCAGCACATATCCCCAAGGGGTAGCAGGCATTCTCTACATTGCAGCCTAAAGGAAATACAATGTGCATTGTTACTTTTCAAACTTCTCTGGCAATAAACACAGCCTCGCCTACTGTGATAATGCCCTTCACCCAGGAGTGCTAAACCAAGACATGTTCAGGATTCACTGCACCCAGGCCTGGGGTGGAGCATGCACAGCACCACTACAGAGCAATGTGAGAGGAAGGGGAGAATACGGTGTTCATTTAAAACCACAGGTGGGATTTAGGGAGGCAGAATGTAATTATTCACACTGGAAAATTGCTAGAACCCTCTGGGCTGAACCACCTAGTCATGCCCTTTGTGCACAGCTAGGAGAGCAGGATATATCTGTATATCCATGCAAACACAGAGTTAAGGAATATGGTGCTGTGACAAAGCGGGGGTTTTATTCACCTTGTTATGTTGTATGTGAGTTCTACTGCCCTATAGAACCCCATGTGTGTGCCTCAGTTTCCTGGGCACTGCACCAATACTTAACTGGTGATGGGAATTTCGGGTCTGATAGCCTCCCACCCATACACAATGGCTAGCACCCTAGTTACCTTTTGTAACCTGAGCCTGGAAGGGGATGAGACCAGGTGACACTTTTTGCATAGGGTGGGGGAGGGGGAAACAAAGGTGGGAGGAGGAGCCTGGCTGGGGGACTGTGACCAGGCTGTTGGGAGTGGGGCAGTCGGGGCTGGCTTGGGGTGCAGGAAGGGAGCCAGGGTCCTAGCTCTGGAGGCCCACTTCCCAATATGGATACTACAGACTGTTTCTGGTTATTGTGCTGACAAGTCTTCTATGCTGTGTCCCTGCCACCTAGTAAAACCTTTTGTTCTACCTGCCGGCTGAAAGTCACGTCTGGCTGCAGATGGTGGGTGCAGGGCCTGGTGACTCTCCCACACTTTAGTGCCAGGTGCCACTGAAGGGCCCTCAAGAATATTTAGCAGAACTTTTGGGTTTTGTAGGACCAGTAATTCTCTTTGTAGCACACTGCAAACGGCTTCTTTTGTGCAGCTTTCTACATTAGCTCTTAACACGTGTGTGTGTGACATACAGGAATATTAAAAATAAGTAATAATTGATGACATGGGACCTTTTAAAGCTATTGGCTAAATACAGCATGGGTGTTAGCTGGCACAATTCCACTGAAGTCAGTGGAGTCATGCTCTTTAAGTCAGCAGAGAATTTTGACCTTTTAAGTGGACATTTTACATTTCATTCAGAAGACAGGCCTTCCAGTATTGGTTTACTGCTACCACCACAATAGGGGGCTGGTATAGGATGGACCCAACAGGAAGAATTCCACTCACTGAATCCCTAGCACCACTTTTAATAGCGCCTAGGATTGTGGAGGCTGCAGAGGTAACCCGTGGGAAAGATTTGATAAACCAATTAAGTACAGAGAACAGCTCCCTCCCTCTCTTCGTGCAATCAGCAGAATCCTCCATTCTGTGGCATCCAATGTGTTTAGATTACCAGAATATCAACATTAAAGTGCACTTCAGTAGCTTTGGCCAGCCTTTGTCTTTCTTCAGCATTTAATTGCCTCCTTCGATAAGTAGTTGTTACGGGGTTACAGGGCCATGGTATTTTATACAGGCTTTGTTATTTTTAATACTGTGTGGCCCTGAGGCAGCAAAGCACTTAAGCGCATGCTTCATTTTAAGAAAGCAAAAGGAGTTTAGTATGTGCATAAATGTTTGCATGATCTTGAGCGTTTGATTTTCATAAGTGATGGGCTACCATTACTTTTGCAAATCTATCGATATCCGCAGGCATCTGCATCTGGGTATCCACAGCTCATTTTTGTAGATGTGGATACCAATTTTGTATCGAGAACCCTGCAAATGTGTGGACAACTGCTTTATATCCTCGGGTATCTGCATCCGTGGATGTGGCTGCAAATATCCGCAGATCATTTCTGCAGATACGGATACTGATTTTGTGTCTGCACAGGGCTCTACCCACAGCCCAGCAGATACTCTGCATCTTTGAAATGTAGGCTGTAAATGAATAATGGAGGTTTGCAGATGAAATGCTGGAAAGGATACTAAAGGCACAATATCCGGACTCCAAGGCCAGCATTTTTTCCATTGGATAATTCTTTGCAAACATGTATTTTTCATTAGTCACCTGACTCTAACCACAAACCTTTAGACAAGGAGTTTGGGGTTGGTCTGTCGCACAGTCCTGCCAGCCCCTGTCAGAAAAGCAGAGTGAGATCTCAGTCTTTTCTCCCCTCTCTTTCATTCCCAGGGGAGTGATGTGAAGATGTGGGAGGTCTCTAATGTCTTCTCTTTATCATCCCTTTCCTTCAATAGGCCCCAGTTTCTGATTGCACAGGGACCTCGGAAGAACACCTAAGGGCCAGCCCCATCCAAGGCAAGACCTGGCATGTCTCTCAGCCCCATAGAGCACTGTCTCTTTTATCATTCTGAGAAAGAGATGCTCCCAAGTTAATTATTCTAAGAGGAAATCCCCATCCTGCCCGGATGTTGCTAGACTCTCCTCTGGCACAGAGGAAACCTAGCCCAGGCTTAGTCAGCATCAGAGAAGAGCTGCGACTCCAGCAGACTCTCCCAGCCTTGCTTGTTTTGCAGCAAAGATTTGAACGCGGTCCAGGAGATCAGACAGCAGCCTCTTGTTGCTCGGCAAGGGGGAGTAATATGCCATGGGCAGGCAGAGCAGAATGGCAGAGTCAGTGCATTCTCTCCTGATGTCACAGATAGGCAGGACTGCCAACCCCAACCTTTCAAGACTCAGGCTGTGTCCAGACTCCATGCCTCCGTCGACGGAGGCATGTAGATTAGCCAGATCGGCAGATCGGGGGAGCCATTTAAATTTAAATGGCTCCCCCGATCTGCCGATCTGGCTAATCTACATGCCTCCGTCGACGGAGGCATGTAGATTAGCCAGATCGGCAGATCGGGGGAGCCATTTAAATTTAAATGGCTCCCCCGATCTGCCGATCTGGCTAATCTACATGCCTCCGTCGACGGAGGCATGTAGATTAGCCAGATCGGCAGATCGGGGGAGCCATTTAAATTTAAATGGCTCCCCCGATCTGCCGATCTGGCTAATCTACATGCCTCCGTCGACGGAGGCATGTAGATTAGCCAGATCGGCAGATCGGGGGAGCCATTTAAATTTAAATGGCTCCCCCGATCTGCCGATCTGGCTAATCTACATGCCTCCGTCGACGGAGGCATGGAGTCTGGACACAGCCTCACTGTGTGGAGAAAGTGAAGAAAGAAGAGTTGGTTCTTCCTTCCCAAAACAGTAGTACTAGGGGTCACCAACTGAAATTAATAGGTAGCAGGTTCAAAAAAAGGAAATATTTTTTCACACGCTGCACAGCCAACCTGTGGAACTCCTCGCCAGAGGATGCTCTGAAGGCCAAGACCGTAACATGGTTTATAAAAGAGCTAGATAAATTCATGGAGAATAGGTCTATCAATGGCTATTGGCCAGGATGGGCAGGGATGGGGTCCCAGCCTTTTTTTGTCAGAGGGTGGGAATGGACAACAGGGGATAGATCACTTAGAATCATAGAATCACAGGGCTGGAAGAGACCTCAGGAAGTCATTGAGTCCAGTCCCTTGCCCAAAGCAGGACCAATCCCAACTAACTCATCCCAGCCAAGGCTTTGTCAAGTCTATACTTAAAAACCTCTAGGGATGGAGATTCCACCACCTCCCTAAGGAACCCATTCCACTGCTCCACTACCCTCCCAGTGAAATAGTTTTTTCTATTATCCAACCTAGACCTCCCCCCCTGTAGCTTGAGACCATTGCTCCTTGTTCTGTCATCCATCTATTGAGAACAGCCTCTCTCCATCCTCTTTGGAACCTCCCTTCAGGAAGTTGAAGGCTGCTAACAAATCCCCCCTCACTCTTCTCTTCTGCAGACTAAATAAGCCCAAATCCCTCAGCCTCTCCTCATAGGTCACGTGCTCCAGCCCCCTAATCATTTTGGTTGCCCTCCGCTGGACCCTCTCCAATGCATCCACATCCTTTCTGTACTGGGGGGCCCAGAACTGGACACAATACTCCAGATGTGGCCTCACCAATGCCGAATAAAGGGGAATAATCACTTCTCTAGATCTGCTGGCAATGCTCCTCCTAATGCACCCTAATATTCCATTCACCTTCTTGTCTACAAGGGCACACTGTTGACTCATAGCTAGTTTCTCATCCACTGTAATCCCCAGCTCTTTTTCCGCCAAACTGCTACTTAGCCAGTTGGTCCCCAGCCTGTAACAATGCTTAGGATTCTTCTGTCCCAAGTTCAGGACTCTGCACTTGTTCTTGTTGAACCTCATCAGCTTTCTTTTGGCCCAATCCTCTAATCTGTCTAGGTCACTCTGGACTCTACCCCTGCCCTCCTACATATCTACCTTTCCCCCTAAATTGGTGTCATCTGCAAACTTGCTGAGGGTGCAATCCATCCCCTCGTTCAGGCCATTAATAAAGATGTTGAACAAAACCGGCCCCAGAAGCGATCCTTGGGGCGCTCCACTTGAAACCGACCGCCAACCTGACATCAAGCCGTTGGGCCAGACAATCTAGCCAGCTTTCTATCCACCTGACAGTCCATTTATCCAATCCATACTTCCCTCACTTGCTGGCAAGAACATTGTGGGAGACCATCTCAAGAACTTTGCTGAAGTCAAGGTACATCACATCCACTGACTTCCCCGTGTCGACAGAGCCAGTTACCTCATCATGGAAGCTATTCAGATTGGCCAGGCATGACTTGCCCTTGGTGAATCCATGTGGACTATTCCTGATCACTTTCCCCTCTTCCAAGTGCCTGATGATTCCCTGTTTCTGTTCATTCTCTCTGGGGCATGTGGCATTGGCCATTGGCAGAGGACAGGATATTGGGCTCGATGGGCCTTTCATCTGACCCAGCCTGGCCGTTCTTATTATCATCGAGGTTGTGAGGAATCACCAGGCCCTGCACTCGCATCCACAGTCAGAGGAGACTGAGAAAGCAGGTAGAACAGAATGTTCCTTAGTTGACAGGGACGCAACGCAGAACAGACTTGTCAGCATAGTAACCAGAAGCCGTCAGTACATTCCATCTTGGGGAGAGGGGACCCAGAGCCAAAAGCCCTGACCCTCCCCCTGCACCCCACACCAGCTGAGACTAACTCACATACTCAGCAACTAGCCCTACCTCTGGCCATTGTTCTACTTCCCAGGCAAAAGGTGTCACTTGGTCACACCCCCATCCCACGCTGAGATTACAGAAAGCATCAGCCCTTGTGTGTGTGGGGAAGACTATCACACTGATATTCCCATCACTATCTAGGTATTGGCGCAGTGCCCAGGGAAACTGAGGCACACGCACATCAGGTTACTTCAGAACAACAGAAATCACATGCAACATAACAAGGAGGCTAAAATCCCCACAATCTCCATTTTGTCACACTTAAGTTCTTATTATTTGCACTGCAGTAGCACTTTGGAACCCCGGTGACAGGCTAGGATCCTACCGTGCTAAGTGCTGTACAAACACTGGATGAAAAGATGGTTCTTTCCTGAAAGCTTATTCTCCATAGGACATCAAGCAGGCAGATACAGATAGATGGTGGAGTACCAGGAAACACAGACAAAAACCATGAATCCGGGGCCTCCCATCTGGCTTGAAAACCATGAGATTCTAGCGCTAGCAGATGTGGGGGGTTGGGGAGGGGGTATTCTTTGCTTTCTGTGGTTTTGAGCCTTTTTCAATAACGTTTGTCTGCAGCCATGAAGGCCAGAAACGTAACTTTTAAAAAACAAAATCCGAGGTGCTCACATCTTGAGGATTTGGGGCTGTTGGAAACATCCTGAGACTTGTGATAGAATCCCCAGGACTGGCTACAGTAATGTGCTATCATTTTCATCGCTCATGGCCCCAGGCAGGGGCACAAACAAGATGGGAGCAAGGAGTTTCCTGGTTTAGTTTCTTTTGCCAGTCCAGGGCTGGCAGAGGACGGGGAGGCAGGCAGCCATCGACAGAAACCGGAACCAGAGGCACATTCCGCATTGTGATCCACCTTGGAAAGGATGGTTCAAATCCGAGCCCCTTATAGCCCAGCAAGGCCGATGCCACATCTCAAGGAGGCAAAGGATGACGACACGAAGAATACAGGGCAAAGTTTGCTCCACAGCATTTATTTATGGCACAAACTCTAAAAGTTGCTATCAAGCAGTCTCCTTCTTCTCAAGGAACCCTGACTCCAAAGCCTCTGCTTCTTCAAGGACACTCCCCTGGGTGGGTGTGACATGCCTCTGCCTGTACAGAAATGGCTGAATCCCTTTGAGGGCACAGCCAGGGCACAGCTCTTCAGGAGCTGAGGTATGGGGCGCACGCTCCTTACTTACCCGAGAAGATCTTCCCATCACAAGTCAGTAGCGCTGCTCCCACGGGGAAGTGACTATACGGACAGTAGGCAGATTTCTTAGCTTCCTTGCAGATGTGCATGAGGAGTTCAATTTGCTCAGGTCCCATGGGGGAGGCTGAAGAATTGGTATCATTTGGATGATTCTCCTGTAAACAGTCGTATTGCACCTGGGCCATGGTTACACTCATGGGTCTCTGCGGGACGTCTCCTCTTTGCAACTGCAGCCAGGAGAAAAACAGCGGTGAGCAAGAGGAAGCACCAATCTCCACTCCTAAAGAGAGAGAGAGAGAGAGAGAGTGCGTATGTGTGACAGACTGACTCACGGTGTATGGGTGGATGTGTCTGTACGTGTGACGGACAGGACTCTGAGTAGCAATGTGTGGAGGGTTTTGTGTTTGTCTTCCTCCTGACTGGGTGTTGCAATTTTGTTCTCTTACTCTCATCCTCCGTCAGTGATTTTCCTGTGTTACGTATCCCTCTAGCTCGGAAGTCTAACAGTCAGTTCAGCTCCCACTAAGTGCTAATGTGTATAGCCAGATCCAGCTGCATTCTCCCTCTCAGTGTCTCTAGGCCAGGGTGGATTCATGGGCGGCCTGTGAGGAGCGCCTTTACGTTTTCACGAGTATCTCTGCACTCGTGCGCATGGTTTCCATGAGAAGTGTGCAGAGCAGTTTGGTGCACCTGATTTCCCTCAGTGCTCAGCAATGGAGCTGTCCTTCTCCACCCCGGGACTGTCTCCCGCTGTGGGAGCAAGGGGGACTAAGGAGGAGCATGTACCTTTGGTAGCACTCTCTGTTTCAGCTGCTTGGAAAGGAGCGTTCAGGGAAGGAGCCGTCCCATGACAGTGCAGCAACAAAGAAGCAACGGGATCTAGCTTGGAGGGCTCTGTAATCATCCTCACAGCGACAGGCTTCCCTCACGATTGGCTAAAGCCCGCACTGCCCTGACCGCCTGGCTCTGATTGGCTCTGCATTAGCAAAAGCAGCTTCCACCCTCTGTGGTCTGAGTGCTGCTCTGTTCAACCGCTGGAAAGCTGTCAGCGAGCACCACCCACTTTCTGCCCCGCACTGCAGCCCTCCCTGGCCTCTCACTATGCCGGGCTGGGGCATTCTGCCAGCAGGTGAATTGGCACGGGGAAGATATGGGAGGGGGAAGAGGGAGGAAAGTCCACCAGGAAATAGGCGGTCAGTGATAAACCCGACCTGATGGTAAGAGATAGGAACCGCTGGAAAGCTGTCAGCGAGCACCACCCACTTTCTGCCCCGCACTGCAGCCCTCCCTGGCCTCTCACTATGCCGGGCTGGGGCATTCTGCCAGCAGGTGAATTGGCACGGGGAAGATATGGGAGGGGGAAGAGGGAGGAAAGTCCACCAGGAAATAGGCGGTCAGTGATAAACCCGACCTGATGGTAAGAGATAGGTAGGCCAGGGATGCTGGAGCAGTTTTTATAGAGGGGGTGCAAAGAGCGATTGAACCAAACTGTAAATCCTGTATATAATAGAAACCTCTTCAAGCCTGAGGGTGTGGCAGCTCCCTTTGCTCCAGCACCGATGCAGGCTTGGAAGGGTTATATTTTTTTATCAGCAAATATAAGTAAGCATCAATTTCACTAGTAAAAGAGATGTAGCCGTGTTAGTCTGGTCTTGCTGAAACAAAAGACAGGACTATCCCTTTAGTATATATGGTCATGCCAATTTTCTTCCACAATTTGATCTGAGGAAGTGGGTCTGGCCCACGAAAACTCATTACCTAATAAACCATCTTGTTAGTCTTTAAAGTGCTGCATAGTCCTGTCTTTTGTTTAATCAATTTCATTGTAATCACACAAACCAATGAAATAACATTTCTGCCAATTATCATCTAAAATGCCCATTCCAATTCATCTGATGAAGTGGGTTTTGCCCATGAAAGCTCATGAGTCTTTACAATTTGGTTAGTCTCTTCGGTGCCCCCCGGCCACTTGTTTTTAAAGTTACAGACTAACACTGTGGCCCCGCTGAGATTTTTCTAAAATGTATAGAAATGTAAAATGTATAGAAAAAAACGCTGCTTGAGAACTCATTAGAGTTTCATTTCAGATTATTTACTTCATATATTTTGACATAGGAAATTGTCAGATTACATCCAACAGTTATTAAAGCTTTCACTTTTTGAATCTCCGTGTCTACTGTCATGAAATAATTGCCTGATGCCCCTAACATCTGATGCCCCCCATAATTTCCCACAACTGTGAAAATTTAAATGGAAAAAGTGTTTAAAATAATCAATATTATCCATCCAAATGAGCTTCTAGGAATTATCAACTGTGTATCCGCAACTAGTAATTCATCCCCCCTGCCAAAAATAGTCCTTAGGAGAGAAAGATTCTTAGGAGTTGCTAGCCAGACTTGGGGCCAAGTACCAGTTGGAATTTAGTGGAGCTCCAGCCAATAAAAGTAGCTGGTTTTGCCAAAAAACTATGCCCATAAGCTGGTAGTTACTTTGACTCCAGTGCTCAGCCAGGCATGTCCTGCAAGACACTATGGGTTAAATATTTCTGTCACCTTAAATGACTCCTTCCTACGAACCATATTTTGCAACAAGCCTGACCTTGGGTTCTTCTCCCTCCACCGAAAAACTCTGAAAATTCAGTGAGTGTATGGAGCAAGCACAGGGGACTCATGGCAGCACTCGGGAGGTGCACTGCCCTTCTATGCCCCCACCAACATTTTAATGGCTAAATAGGGTGCCCCCACATGCCCCTCTGGGTGGCCCTCCCTGCACCTCCCTCTTCCACAAGCATCAGTCGCCTATGGGGGCAAGAGCACTCCCCGGACCCAGGGGAGCCAACAGCCACGCTGGGCTCCTGGGTGAGGTGTGTTTGGGGGGGGATTCCATGCTGCTGGAAGGGGCGGGAGCTCAGCCAGAAGGGGCAGAGCCAGGAGCAGCAAACATGCCATAGTAGCTCCCATCCCAGCCCTTAGAGCCACCTGGAGACAGCACACCCTCCGCTCCAGCCCTTAGAGCCACCTGGAGCATGAGGCATTTAAAGGGCCTAGGCACTGGGTACCACTGCTGCTGTCACAGTAGCACCGGCAGAAGCCAGGAGCCTTGGGCCCTTTAGAATTGCTGGGTCCCAGGTCAGATGCTGCCTTTAGCCCCCTGCCTTCCCCTCCATCAGTGGGCCTGCCCAGGCCACTGTGAACAAGCATGGTGGCATTCGCCATCCCAGTGTGCACTCTACTCTGATGTAAGTGTCTAGACAAGGTGCATAGAGGGGCAGGGGCTGAGCAGGAGTTTGGATGTTTGGGAGGCAGCATGGGAAGGTCAGGCTATAGGCCTGGGTTGAGCCTGAGGCTGGGGAATGTTGTTTACTATGTGGAAGATACCTTGCTGACTGCCACTGTTTTCTTGCTGACTCATTCTGCCAGCTTCCCCTGTGCAGGCAACGAAAACTCTCTCATTAGACTATCTCTGAGGTAGGCCCTCCTGGTGGCTTGTGGGCAAAGTTAAATAGCTAAATAACTAACAAAGGGGCTACGGTACAGATCATGCCATTCCAGCGGCTATTTATTCAGTTACACATTCCTGCCTTCCTCCCCATTAAAGCTACGGACCGTGCGGTTTCATGATTAGAAGAAGTGCCTTGGTTTTCTCTGAAAGGTTACGTAGAAAGCAGTCACCCTGCTCTGTTCCGGCTTGGCAGTGAGTTGGATGGTGACTTTTAACAAAAGCATTCTGCACAGCTCAACACAGGAAAGGCAAGTGAGCTTCACAATGCAGCTTTACTGCAACAGTTACTGCTGCTGTTATTATCCCTCCATTTCATGAAGGCAAGGGAAGGCGTTGTCTTCCCAAAACTGCCTGCACTGCCCGGCTTCCCAGGTGGGCTGGGGCTGTAGTGCAGCAGCCTGGCTCTGGCCACCGGGAAGGGCTGGAATCGCCATGCGATAGCTCCGGCCTCTGAGTGGCCAGACAGGAGCGGGGTTCAAGGTTGGGGTTGGGCAGGGCTTGGCTAGGGGAGGAGATTGTTGAAGGGATGGGGTCTGAATTTTCAACCAGCCCTATAAGAGACATTCTTAGAAATGTGCCATTTAAACAGACAGGCGAGAGAAAAGATGGGGTGGGAGGGGAAAACCCCAGAGATCAGAAAGTGGACCTGATTTACTCAGGATCACGCAGGAAAACAGAAGCAGCATGAGAATTAGCAGCCTGACTCCCAGTTCAGTGTTGTACCCAGGGGAAAACATTGCCTCTTTGGAGGCAGAGAGGCAAGAATGAAAAGAAATGTTCAGTGAAAGTATCGGTTTTCCTAGGGTTTTTTAAAAAAATGTCATGAGAAAATTGAAAATTTCCTAGCCAAACACTGAACAATTTCTGTGTGTTTTCTTAAATTAAAAGTCAACATTTGCCATGGAAAACTTTAATTAAAGCATTTTTTTCTGGTTGGATAGGCTGCTTTGTAATTAAACCCCTTTTGGGTTTAAAAGCTATTTTAGAAGCCAATGGCTCAGGATCGTGGTACATGGAGAGCGCATAAAAATAGACACGCAGGCACATACGAGCCTCAGAGATGCTGTATGGGGGGGAATGTAGGGGGCACCATCTGTTTCCGCTGGTGCCTGGCACATACATGTCAGAGCCATCATTGGGAAGGAGAGAAACTGAACACCAGGCTCTAAAGCAAGGGCGTTTGCACATGTATGTTCACATTGTCAGCTCAGATGCTTGTCTCTCACCCACAGCAGCTGGTCCAATGGAAGATATTAGTTCACCCACTTTGTCTCTACAGCTCAGTCCTGCAGCCAATCTCCCATTGAATCAGATCATACAGGACTGGACCCTGACAGAAACTCACTCTCACCTGATCCCTCCAGCATTCTTTCAGATCCGCTCAGGCCAGGGGGAGTTGATTCCTTTGTCACATGCTCTTCTACGGCAGTGGAGCCCTGCGTGACATCTTGGTCCTTTACCATGAAAAAGTCTGCACTTGGACTCTGGAGAAAGCTCTTACTGAGGCCCAGTTCCTGTAATAATTCACCAGCAGGATCAAGAGCATTATGGGTAATCCAGGTGACAGGTAAAATGAACAGGTATGTCAGATGAGACTCGAGCCAACAATTTCCCTCTTCCCCACAAGAGAGCCCCTCCTGGACTGCCCTTGGAATGTTCTAATAAACCCAAGCCAACTTCAGCCCTCCTCTGCCTTGGCCCTTCATGCCTCTTAAAAGCCCTTTTGCTGTTCTTCCACTGAACAGCAAAAACCCAGGGCTCTATTCGAAGTCCAGATTGTGCCCTTTTATCAGGGCTTGCCATTGGAGCCTGCTTCACACCCAGCAACAGCTTGACATCTCCCATGGTTGCTTGCCAACCTTCTCTACTCAGGCTGAGATCCCAGGGTTGGTCTCTTGACTTTCTCTCATCCCTGCAGCCTATTTCTGCTTACAACATCCTCAGTTTATAATCCTTTGCCAACCCCTCCTCTTCTGAACTTCACTCTCAGGCTACGGCTACACTGCAGAGGTTTTGCGCAAAAACGGCTGTTTTTTTTCGCAAAAACTTGCAGAGTGTCCACCCCTCAAGTGCGTTTTTGCGCAAGAAAATTGACAGTGAATCGACAGAACGCAAAAACTCGCAGAGCGTCCACCCCTCAAGTGCGTTTTTGCACAAGAAAATTGACAGTGAATCGACAGAACGGCGGGGGTTTTGCGGTGTAGGTATTCCTCTTTCTACGAGGAATAAGTCTCTTTGCACAAGAGCTTTTGTGCAAAAAGGTGTGTGTGGATGGGAAACTGGGGGCTTTTGTGCAGAAACAGCCTACTGAAAGAAGCATAGGTGCTCTGGTGGCCATTCTATTAATGGCAATCAGAGCTTTCTTGCGGGAGAGCGTCCATGCAATCTGGACACTCTCTTGTGCAAAGAGATCTGTTCCGCAAAAACGGTTCTTGCACAAGAAGCCTGCAGAGTAGATGTAGCCTCAATTAAGCCTGCCTCTCTCAGC